TACCCACAATGCTTGCCTGGCGCCCCCCCCCCGGCCCCGGCGAAGGGGGGGGGGGGGTGGGGGTGTGGGGTGGAGGGTTTTTCCCCCCCCCCGGCCCCTGGGGGGCCCCTGGGGCCCCCGCTCCCCCCCCCCCCCCCCCAGACAAAGGCCAGCGGACTCAACATCCCGCCCTCCCCGCCGGGCTGGATCCCATATTGAACCAAGGCGCCCAGCGACCCCTCCTCCACTCTCCATCTTTTCTTTCTTCCCCATCCTCTCGTCCCCGCCTGCCTCTTCCCCCTCCCCCACCCCTCATCCCCATCCTCCCCCTCTTCACAGGCACATCTGCACGCGCACGCTCGCTCGCTCGTTCGCTCGCACGCACGCACACCTACACACAATGAAGGAGCGCGTCAGGAAGTCCAAGGCCCAGCCCGCGCGCCACGACCCGCTGCATCTGCAGATTGCTTCGGATATCCAGGTGACCGACCATCTCAGCCAGACCGGGCGCGGTGCCTCGCGGCGTGAGCGTGTCCGCGGCGCCGGCGCCAAGCCCGAGCTCGGCATTGATGATGAGAATGAGGCCCCGCTGGATGCCCGGATGTCGCAGAAGATCCGGATGATCGCGCGCGAGCAGCTGCGCGAGCTGCGCGACGACCAGGACCAGGCTGCTGACGCGGCGTCCGACGCGGCCGCCGTCGCCGCGGCCGCGGCCGCCGACGCCATGGCCACCGAGGACTTCGAGGAGGCCGAGGAAGTCGATGAGGATGATGAGGCTAGCTACCGTGATGCCGTCCGCCTCGCCGAGTCCCAGGTGCGTCATAGCACATTTACAATGCATTTCCCGCCCCCCCCCCTCCCCTCCCCTCCCCTCTCCTCTCCTCCGCGTCTCGCCTTGCTGCCCCTCTCACCGTCCCCCTGCTGGCAGATCTCCGAGTCGGAGCGCAACCTCCTGGAGCAGTTCATGCCCAGCTTCGGTGCCCGGCGCGCCGCCCCGCGCACCATCGCCGACTTGATCATGGAGAAGCTCGAGTCCAAGAAGAGCCGCATCAACAAGCTCCAGTCGACCGACGATGAGACCCCTCTTTCTCACCTGGACGACAAGGTCGTCGAGGTTTATTCCAGGTGTGTTTCTCCCCGTTCCTCCCCCCCCCCCCCCCCCCCCCCCCCCCCCCCCCCCCCCCCCCGTTATCCCGATCTTGGGTCTCCGGTCGTTGTCTCACGCAGCATGTGCCGACATGTGTCCCCTGTCCTCCCCCTGATGTCCCTCAGTGTGGGGAATATCCTCTCCCGCTACCGGTCCGGCAAGGTTCCCAAGGCCTTCAAGATCATTCCCACCCTGACCAACTGGGAGGAGGTCCTGTACCTGACTCGCCCGGATGACTGGACCCCGAATGCCCTGTTCCAGGCGACCCGGCTCTTCGCATCGAGCTTCAACCCCAAGATGGCCCAGCGCTTCTTCAATGTGGTCCTCCTGCCGCGCGTTCGCTATGAGTTTACCGTCTCCAAGAAGATCAACTTCCACATTTACATGTCCCTCCGGAAAGCCCTCTACAAGCCGGCTGCCTTCTTCAAGGGCATTCTCATCCCCCTGTGTGAGGTGTGTCCTGTTGCGGCCCAGTACCCGGCCCCACGCTCCCCCGCGCTCCCTTACGCCCCGGCCGCCATATCCGCACTTGCTGTCCCGGCCCTCGCCCCTCCTTCCTTGTCGCTCACTCCCTCCCTTTCTCCTTCTCTCTCTCTCTCTCCCCCTCTCCCCCTCTCCCCCCCCCCTCCACCGCCAGTCCAACGACTGCACCCTCCGTGAGGCGGCGGTCATTGGCTCGGTCCTGGCCAAGTCCTCCGTGCCGAGTCTCCACTCCGCGGTGGCCATCCTGCGCATCGCCGACATGGAGTACAGCGGCGTCAACAGCCTGCTGCTGCGCGTTCTCCTGGACAAGAAGTATGCCCTGCCGTACCGGGTGATCGACTCGCTGGTGCTGCACTTCATTCGCTTCACGCATGACGATCGCCAGCTGCCGGTGCTTTGGCACCAGTCGCTGTTGGTCTTCATTCAGCGCTACAAGGGCGACATGACCACCGAGCAGCGCGATCTGATCATGGCTCTCCTGCGCAAGCACTCGCACCCGGGCATTGGGCCAGAGATCCGCCGTGAGATTCTGGAGAGTCGTTCGCGCGAGGAGCGTGAGGCCGCCTCCAACGAGGTCTCGGCCGCCGGTTTCGAGGACATGTTCGCCGACCTGTAGACTGTGCGAATGCGCTTGCGTGTGTGTGTGTGTGTGTGTGTAAACACAGCTGCTCGTGCGTGCGTGCGTGCGTGCGTGCGCACCCCCCTGCTCGCACACATGCCCCCCTCAGCACACATCTCCGAGCAGCTCCTGCGCTCGGAAGATGCCGCACATTCTGGCGGCATGTGCGCGAGGGGTGGGCCCAGCCTTTCTCACACTCTTGTAACATATAATATTTATACACATACATTGTTATTGCTCTTTTTCTCTTGCGCCCCACGAGAACCGAAGAATGCAGGGGGGGGGAGTGGAGCAATTCCCACATGGCTGGATGTCAGCATAAAGGGGGGAATTCCGATTGGGCCCGCACGTGTAATCGCCGGACCACCGAAAGAGCGGCAAAAGGTCTATGTATGTATTTGAGGGGACGAAGGGTGAGGGCGATGTGGTTTCGCGGCGCTCAGAAAGGAGAAGGGAAAGGAAGGGGGGATAGACAACCCCTCTCACCGAAGCATGGGAAGGCGCGGCAGGCGCCGGGCAATGGTCGATCCGATCCACACGGGCACCACCACCAGCAGAATGACGGCCAGCGAGGCGCCAGCCACGTTGGCATACGGATGCCGCGGGGCCCGACACAGGGGGTCGGTCATGGCCAGCAGGACCACCCGCAGCCAGGGCTCCAAAGCGGGCCGGTCCAGGCGCAGGTATTCGCCCAGGAGGCGCCGGGGCCCCGGTGCACAGGCCAAGCCGTCCGCCAGCGGGCGGCCACCGAGGGTCAAATCGATGGGCAGCCATTCGGACAGGCGGGTGGATCGGCCGATGCGGGCCGCCAGGCGGGAGCAGTCGTCGCCGACCGGCGAGCAGCCAAGCCGCGCGTCGCGAGCCATCTTCATGGCCGGGCTGTCGGCACAGTAGATGGAGGTGGCTCCGCTCGGGGAGGCGCACATGTCCGTCAGGGCGGCCCAATGTCCGAAGGCATGCCAAACGAAGCCTCGCAGGACGTCTCGCGGGATGGCCGGCAGGCGTCGGGCCGCGTCGCGCAAAACCGGCGCCCAGATGGCCGCCGTGCCGCCACTGCTGCCGGCACCGGCGGCGCCCGCGAAGGCCGGGCGTTGGCCAAGCTCAACGGCCGCCTCTTGCACCGGGGCCAGCCAAGCGCCGGCCGGGATCGGGGCCGCCAGCGCCGCCAACAGGCGGAAGGGATTCGCCGTGGCCCTGGGCCAGCAGGGAGTGCATGTCTGGGTCGGGGAGCAGTCGGTCCAAAAGCCGGGGCTGGTTTCGGGGCTTGAGGAGTTGGAGGGTGTCAAGAAAGGTAGATCCAGCCCCGGGCAGGCCCAGTACGTGAAGCCCATGCCGCGGACCGAGTAGTCCGCCAGATTCCCGGCAAACAGGTCATCTGTCCAGGAGAGCAGGTCCTCCACCTGCTCTTGGGAGAGGACATCGTGGGCACTTGTCGGAGTGGCCAGCGGGGTTACTAGCCGAGGGGGCTGGGGCTGCGAGGCCGCGAGACCGAATGCCAGCAGTAGGAGCAAAAGCCCCGGGAGGAGGGCAAGCGGGGCCCTCATGCTTGCGTGAAGCATGCAAAGGGGTGGTGCTTGTGTGCCCGAGAAGCAGCAAGAGACACGGGGGGAGGTGAGGCAGGTGAGGGAGGGAAGGGGGCGGCCCCGGGGCGGGGGGAGGGTTGCGCGCGAGGCTCCCCCCAGCTTTGGCGCCAATGTCCGGGGGGTGTGGTTTTCTCAGCATTTCCGGCGATCCGTGAGGACCGTGCTGCCCTTGCTGCCGGACAGCGCGCGGGCGTGGGCAGGCTCCCGGCAGGGCGCCAGAGCATCAGCCACCAAGACGCTTCAGATCTGGGCTCCAGAATCCACGGTCAGCCGACCCGCACAACACGTGCCGCCGTCTGAGGCGTGTATCATCATTACCCACAATGCTTGCCTGGCGCCCCCCCCCCGGGGGGCGGCCACCAGGAGGGGGGAGGGGGTGGACGACGCATGTGTGTCGACCCTTCACGATTGGGCCGGCCAGAGACGCAAAGAGGACAGCGCGGGAAGGAGCTGTTCTCTCGGGCCCCTCCCGCCGCCCCGTGCTCGCGTTCATGCACCCGCGCGCCCTCGCCCAGCAGGGACTACAAAGCACAAAAAAAGGAGACGAGTAAAATGGCGCAAATGACGCTGCCCCCCCCCCACCCCCACACACACGCCCGTCCGGGAATCTCAGACCCGCCTCGGGCCGGTCTCAGCCCACCCCGCGTAGCCGTGTTGGCCGGTTAGTTTTGGGCCGCCGCAGGCACCTATTCTTGTGCACTTTGGCCAAGGGCGAGTGGGCGTTTGGGTTGTCCTCTTTGAGCACCAGCCCGCCGGAGGCTGCCAGCCCCTCTTGGGCCCCGCCCCACGGAGGGGTAACATGTAGCCGCGCGAGAACGGCCTCGACAACCGCGTGCGTCTGTGTGTATGTGCCCCTTCTTTCCCGGGGCCGGGCGCCCCCGCCCCCTCCCCCCCTCCCGCTCCCGCTCCCGCTCCCGCTCCCGCTCCCGCTCCCGCTCCCTGGGCGGGCAGAGGGCCGCGGGAGGAACAGAGCTACCGCCGCACATCGCCCCCTGGGGAAATCGATGCCTTTGGGGCACCATGGCGCGGAGCTACCCTGCATCGACAAGTTCCGCGGGCCATGTCATGGGGTCGGAGATTTTAGCCCCCCCCCCCCCCCCTCCCCCGCGCTCCCGCCCTCCGCTCCTCGGCCCCTGCTGGTGGGTGGCTCGGGGCCTCGGGTCGGGGGAGGGGAGGGGGAAAAGGGCCACGTCGAAGTGAAAGCCCCAAAGATGCCAGCCCCCAAGTTCGGCAAGCACACACGGACATACTTTTGCAGGGAGAAATATGTATAGACCGTACCTGCACACGGGCGCGGGCCGTTTGTCAAGGTGGGTCCGGGACTCGGGCTGACCGCAGGCTGGCTGTCGGCCGAACCGACTGGCCTCTGCTAGCGCACGTGTGAAATGCCGGGCAGGGAGTCGGCTCTCGACTGGCGCATGGAGTGCGCATGTCGCGCCGGCTCGTGCCTGGGGGGCCGGGGTGGGGGTGCAGCCGGAGGGGGCCGGCATTTGCTCGGCCTTTTTTTTTTCTAACGGGTTGACATGTGGCAAGCTACACCACCCCACCAACACCCGATCGGCGTGAGAGTCGGGGCTTGGGCCGGGCCGTCTCGCCCGGCCCGGAGTCCCCGCCGTGGCGGCCCAAGAAAAGCGATTCCCGGGAAGGTGAGCCGGGGACCTGGGCCACGGTGCTCAAGGCGACCCCCGAGCCATCCCCCCTCGCGCCCCGTGTGAAAGCTCGTCATTCTGCAGGACCCGGCCCCCTTGCAATGCCGGCCCGGCGTACGAGGCGGCGAGAGCACGCGGGAAAGCGATACACATGTGCATGCGCCACCCCGGCTCCCCATGAGAAAGGGCATGGGGCATGATGACCCACAATCTGCCGACGGGCCGGTCGAAATGCGGTGCCCCTGACAAACGGGCCGCCCGCCCCGCCATGCTCAAGTCCGGGCTTCGGGCTTTCGCGCCATCCTCACCTTTCGCTCGCGGTCGCGCCCTCGTTGTGTCTCTTTCTCTTTCTCTTTCTCTCTCTCTCTCTTTCTCTCGCGGGATCCCTCGCGCCTTTCCCTGCCGTCCTCCCCCCCCCCCCGGGGTGGGCGGGGAGCCATCGGGGAGGACAGCCTCCCGCCAAAGCAGCTGACCGAGCAGAAGGACAGCAAAATGAAGTACGGCCATAAATAATGATCTCCCGAAAACACCGCAAACACCATACGTAGCTGGGCCTCTCCCTCGGGGGGCATCCCTTCGCGAGAGTTCTCGATGTACGTGCGCGCGAGCCCGACCCTGGTGGAGTAGTGGCACAAGCGTGCTGGCCGGCAGTGCACTGGCAACGGGACATTAGGCCGGTCTCTGGCCGGACACCCGGAGCGGCGCACACCGGTGGCAAAGATGACGGGAAGTTAGATCGCAGGCAAAGGCGATGGATGGGGGCCACCCGCGAGCATTCAGGCATTTTGTCCCTGCAGGCGCCCTTGCGCCCGCACGCCCCGCTGTAATTGGCGTCCGTGCCGACTCTTGGAGCATTCGGGGAAGTGCCTCACGGGGAACGACCAACTGAAAGAAGGAGGATGTTTTTCCGTTTGTCTCATCCCTGGCGACCCAGTTGGCGTGTATCGGTATCCATCCAGGCGAGCGGGCGGTCTGGGCCCATCCCTTTGGGTTCTTCCGAGCCGCCCTTCCTCTCTGTCTCTCTCTCTCTCTCTCGCACACACACACACACATGGACACGTGCACGTACATGCTCGCTCACTCGAATACAACCTTACAGGTGGCGGGAGCCGGGGGGGAGGGGGGGGAGGGGGCAGATCTAGCCTCTGGAAATTCCCCACAAAGCACACTTGTACGGCCTTCGGCTCCGGTGTGCAGCCCCGGAGGATTGTGCTTATTGGCACCACCGGCCTGGGCGAGGCGCCGAGGGCGGCACACCGTCGGGCAGGGATGTTTGTGCAGGCGTGGTTGCTGCCACCCCGGGTGCCACTACTGAAAGGGGGGCCAGCCCCGTCTGGGTGCCCCCACTCCATTTCTCGAGCAGTTGAATGACCGAATGGTGGGCTCGTACACAAGCGCACGCGGGCGGCTCCTTTCTGTCCTTCGCCCCCCCCCCCCCGCCCCCCCGCTCTGTCGGTCTGCCGCTCTCCCCGCTGGTAAGGCTGTCCCCCCGAGGAAAGCTCCCGAGTGTGCAATATCCCCATCTACACCATGCGTGGGTGGGCGAGGGACGCCTTGGGCCGGCTCTTGCGCATGAATGCCGAAAGCCCCTTGGGGGGGGGGGGAACTGCGAGGGTCGCCCGCTTGTCGGGGCCATCGCGCACACCGGGATGTACCCCGTTGGCGCGATCCCCTCCGGCTCTCCCCAGCCCCCGAGCCCAACCGGGAGCGGCGCCCATTTTTCCCCACCCCTGGTGATGAATTAATTTCCCCCGCGACTGGCTGCCAGTGTGCCACTGCGCGTTTGCCCACAGCCAAGAATAGTGCACTCCCGACCGCGGGAGCGCCGGCACACTTGCATGCACATGGGCGCCGAGCGCGAAGCAGATATGTGTGCGTGTGCGTGTGTGTGGTCTGATCAATGCACCGGAAATGCATTGGGGGATCCGTGTGACGGATCGATGCGCGTCGGCACTCCATCATGTGGAGAAATAAACAAACACTCCCGCACACCCACACACCCACACACATGCACGCCCGAGTGGAGGACCGGGCGGGCACGCAGGCAGAAGGATCCCCCCCCCCCTACTACAAGGTCCACACGCACACATCCTCACTAACATGTCCCCCGGGAGCTCAGGCAAAAGGAGAGCCAGCAATGGGCTGGAAGCCGCGGCAAGGGTAATAGGGAAGAAGTTGCGGCCTGTTCCCGCCCTCCCAGGGACCCACTTGCCCCTCACACCGATATGGTAGCCAATGGCAGAATTGCCCCGTCTCCCCCTCCCAACCCGTCTGCTCTGTATAAGGGTAACCCCCTTGGCCGGCGACTTTTAGATCTTCCCCCACAAGCATCTCGCCTTCTCGTTCTTTTGGCCGTCTCCCATGCACCCGAAGCCGCCTAAGGCCTCTTCTCGCGTCCCGGCCCCTCGCCGCTACTCCTGACTCTGCTCGGCCGGCACCCAACCGGACCTCGGCCTCGGCCTCGCCTCCAATACCCTCTCAGCCACCGATCCCAGCCACCGGTCCAAAGCCACCGATCCAAAGCCACCGATCCAAAGCCACCGATCCAAAGCCACACGTCTCAACCACTGTCCATGCCAGCTGAAGGATGATCTGTCTACTCCTTTTGGCTCTGGCGGCTCTTCTGGCCGAGGGTCCCGCCCGCGCCCAGGCCGCCGTGGCGGCCGAGCGCCCGGGCCTCCTAGTCGACCACCGGGCCTTGGACTTGGATTCCATCCCCCTCTTCCCCCACAAGTACCACCTGATCCACCAAAACTATCCCCTCTCCGGGTACCAGGACGGGTGGTACACCCTGCGCGCGCATGACTACATGTCCCTCGATCCGAAGGCCGATCCGCTGGCGGCGGACGGCTATGAAGAGGTGGACCTCGGGGACTTGACCCTGACTCGACGCCTGCCGGGGGCATCGGACCGGTCGAGCGCCGGCACGGACGCGGTGCCGCCCCCGTACGAGCTGTCCGGGGGGCTGTTCGGCCGCGGGCCGCCGGAGCCGATCCTGGTCAATGCCCGTGGCGAGGGGTTCGGCCTTTGGGTCGAGCGGAATAACACCACCCACGAGTACTTTCCCCATGTCCAAGTGCACGATTGGCAAATGGTCATGCACTCCGGAGACCGGGCCCGGTCGGTGGTCCTGCCCTATCGGCTGCTCGGGGTCTTCACCCTTGACGCGTGTCCCTGGACCACCCAGACCGGCCAGTGCCCGCTGGGGCTGATGGTGGACCACCCCTTCGGGCCGATGCTCAGTGTGACCTTCATCCGCCAGCAGGATGGCTGGGAGTTGCTCTTCCCCGGCAGCAAGTTCCTCCACCACCCGGGGGACTTCCTGGTGTCGGCCAATCTCACCGGCACCGGCCGCATGGACATCTACCAGGTGGTGGTGGAGGGCAAGCGCGCTCGACTGCTGCGGTTCTTCCTCCACTGGACCGGCAATACGCCGGGGTCCGATGGGTGGACCGAGCTGCTTAGCTGGCCGGTCGATGGGCCGGTGGTGTCCTTCCGGTCGATGTACCTGGACCCGAAGGCCGAGTGCCCGGTCTTCGTGGTATCGACCCAGCGCACCAATGACATGCGCACCTACGACTTCCTGGTAAACCGGGCATGCGGCAGCCGGGCCCCGAGCATGTCCTGGCACACGTCGCTGACCAATCTCTTTGAGCTGCACTTCCAGCAGGTCGTCGCCGGACCGGCGGAGCCCCGGCGAGCGGTCACCTCCACCGGCACGGGCATCATCGTGTGGGATGGGGTGCCGAGCCTCGAGCGGATCCTGTGCACGGGCCCCGAGTGCCGGAATGCCCGCATGGACATCAACCTGTCCGGGACCATCTGGCTGCCTGCCGACAAGTTTGCCTTCGTGGACTTCCTCGGCCAAAAGTCCGGCCGGTATCCCCTTGATGGCCTGCCCTTGGATTTGGTTCTCCTGTCCAAGTCCCAATTCCTGCAGGTTCACTCGCTGGAGCCGCGCCTGGCTCATCCGATGGTGGGCCTTCGCAACCACCTGGAGCTTAGTCGTTCATCGACATACATGCTTTGTCCGCCGGCCTACCGCTGGCAGGATCCCAACCATGGGGCGTGCGCCGCCTGCAAGGAGGGCAGCTACAATCCAGCCTACAACCCGGCAGCGCCAGCCATCCAACGTACGGCGCCCCATTTTCCATTCGCCCCCCGCCCCCCTTGTCGGGCCCGCTCTCCTTCGGTGCTTTTTGCCCGTGCCATGGGCCTCTTTCCTTTTCGGGCCCAGCCTCGAGGCCCTCATTCCGCTGGCCTGCACTCCATGCCGGTGTCCCTATGTTAGCTCGCGCCTGGCCGGGCTGCCCTGTCCCCTCCGCCCCCTCCGCCCCCTCCGCCCCTCCGCCCCCTCCGCCCCCTCCGCCCCCTCCGCTACATCGGTCCGCTCCCCATCCTTGCGCTGGCTAACATCACGGCGATCATTTCCCAGGCCCGAAGGAGTGTCGTGCCTGCCCGAAGGGCTGCCGGACGTGCCTCACACCGGAAGAGTGCCTGGCCTGTGCCAGTGGTACCAAAGTCCTGCCATGGGCGCCGAAGCTCGCCCGGCCCAATCCCCAGTGCCTGGCCGCCTGTCCGCAGGGCCACATCGAGTATTACATTGGCATCTGCCTGCATGAGAGCCTGGTGGCCAAGCCGCCGGCGTCCATCCAGCCACGAGTGTACATGAATGAGGAGAACCTGGACGCCCGGCCGACGCGCATCGGCGCCAACTACACGGCCGGGCCGGTGGCCGGGCGCTCCTGGCTACTGGTCAACAAGCAAACCACCCGGCCGAAGGTGTGTGCCTTTGAGGTCCGCCCGGCCGGGCTCGTGGTCGAGTGCGAGACTGTCTTCCTGGATCCCTACGACAATGCGGCCAATGGGGGGGTGGAATTCTTCGAGCACCCCACCGAGCCGGACGGCACGCAGTCCTGGTCGGTGGTGCACTTTTCCTACCGCATGCGGCCCTCCTACCGGCACACCTGGACCCGGCGGCCGGCCCCAGCCTCGTCGGGCACTGGGTCCAAGACGCCCGGGAGCGCCTCCCCGGTGGGTGGGAAGTCCGCGGCCGGGGTAAAAGTGTCCCCCGGGGCCGGGGGCTCCGGCTCCTCGAATGCCGAGGTCACCTCCTTTGAGCGGGTGGAATTCCCGATGGTCGACGGGGCCAATCATGAGGCCTTCCGGATGCTGACCCGGCCGTGGCTACTTCGCGATGGGTCCCGCCGCATGACCACCATGGCCTTCGGCCGAGGGAGCAACTACTTCGATGGGCGCCGGTCTGGCGCGGCCCTGGGCATCAAGGCCAAGGTCCTGGAAGCCCGGGTCATGGGCCCGGCCGATGGCCACCCGCATCTGCTCATCGGTGGCATGAGCCCGCGATCGACCAGTCTCTACATTTGCCACTTGGCCGGGGAGCCGGTGGCCTCCGGGCAGGGGTTCGCCTGCGGCGGGGGAAACCATGTGATCGGCATTGCCGGCGAGCCGGGCGCCGTCTTCACTTGGACCGTGGTCGACTGGAATGGCGACGGCTGGGACGATGTGCTGGTGTCCATCGTCAACAGCGGGCGCACATTCGAGTTCAAGCTTTTCCTCAATGCCCGCCTCGGGTCCGGCAGCGTGTCCTTCCAGGAGGTCATGCACACCAACACCCGGGTCAAGGCCGAGGCCTTGCCCCGCGTCACGGACATGGCCATGGCCCGGCTCATTCCCGGCGACGGGCCCGGCATCTTCCTGATGCTGGACAATGTGGGCTACTTCTTCCGGGCCTTCTTCGCGGACCCGCGCCACCCGAGCTGGGCCATTGTCCACCACCCGATGGAGCTGAAGATGGACAGCATGCGGGCCGCTCTCAGCATCGAGGCCCACGACCTGACGGGCGACGGCCTGGACGAGGTGATCATTCGGTACACCCATACTGCCCACCTCCCGGCCCAGGTGGCTGTCCTCAATACCCAGGACTTCGCCAATCACTGTGGCTGTGGCAAGGAATTCGGCTCGTGCCAGGTGGACGCCTCGTGCACATGTGCGCCGGGGATGTATCGAACGTGTGCGTGACCTTTGCCCCCCCCCCCCCCCCCGACGAGGGACCGGCGGGCGACTCCGGCCGGCCCGGGTCGGGATGCTGGTGGCGGGAAAGGAGGTCCGGATCGTGCTTTGCCCACAACTACGGGGGCCGTTGATTGTGGGGTGGGCTACCCTGCGCCACATGGCGCCCGGATATGGGGGTCATCAGGGCAGGGGCCGGGGCCGGGGCCGGGGCCGGGGCCGGGGCCGGGAAGAACGCGGAGAGCAGGCGAGGCACACTCTCAAAGGCATTGCATACTCACACACACACACACACATACACACACACACACAAACACATACACACACTTGGCCGTTCATACGCTTGTCCCCCAACGACACCGGCGTCGGGCTTGTCCTGTGTGCGCTCTCCATTGGCCATGTCCTCAGTCGACCCGGACCGGCCGTGTGACCGGTGTGCGGCGGCTTGCGGCCCGGCCGGGTGCACTGGCCCCAAGGCGTCCCAGTGCCTGGATTGCGCCGAGGGCCTTCGTCACAGCCCGGGGGTGGGGTGCTACCGGTGCCCGGCCGGCTGCCAGGAGTGCGACCCGCATGTTCTTCTTGGTGGCAAGGCCAGCCCTGGACAGTCGGCCCGGGCTGGCCATGACGCTGGCGATGCTGGCAACGACGACGACGACGACCAGGGCCCTCCACTAGCATCGTGTGTCAAGTGCGAAGATCTCTTCAGCCCCAGCAAGGGGCTCTGCTCCGCCAAGTGTCCCGGGGGGTCCTTCTTCGAAGAGAGTGACCCAGCTGTTTGCCGGCCCTGCGTGTCGCGGTGCCTCCGGTGCACGGGCCCCGGGGCCGGCGATTGCTTGGAGCTTGCCTCGGAGCAGGAGGAGTCGCCGCCAACCGGAAGTACGCCTCCCCGGCGGGTAGAAATTCCCCCGACTGACATCGTCATCTCCACTCCGCGCCCGCCCGCTTGCGAATGTCGCATTGCCGCTGTGCACCGGATTTTCCGACCCCTCCATGCGCTTGTTTGCGAATGTTGCAGGAAGAATCGGTCCAAGTGATTCGAAAGAGCATCCGGCCAGGAGACTGAAAGCCACCGAGTGAACGTGTGAATCGCCCTATGCCGGCCACGGCCGAGGGCAGCAAGGGAGGGCGTTCGCTTCCCGGCCCGACGGGCGCCCGGGGCCCAGCCACCTAGGTCTCACGGCTTCTCGCGGGCCAGACACCGTGATGGGCCAGGGGACGGGCGGCTGTGCGTCCGGAGTAATGGCTGTGCTTGCGCGGAGCCGTGTCAGTGTCGGCGTTTGCGTGTGTGGCTGTGTGTGTTTGTTTGTTTTGCATGTTTGCTCTTGTGCGCGCGCGCGCGTGTGTGTGTGTGTGTGTGTGTGTGTGTGTGTGTGTGTGCACCGGCATATAGACACGCACACGCACACACATACAGCAGTATGCGTTTAGACGTGTCGGGAAAGGGGCCCCCGGTCGGTGCCAGGACCAAGGTGGAAATCGGTTCTCCGCCACCCACCTCCCCTTCTCTCCGGAAGATCCGTGCGGCCGTCTTTCCATGGAGCAATCCCGCCTGTGACGCCTAAAGCGCGGGCGGGAGAGGCCAAGAGCGGCCACCGAGCACGCAGAGAGTTCCACGAGAGAAGAAGAGGCAGATCGAAAGGAATATAGAGCAAGCGAGCGACCGAGGGAGGGCATGTAGATGGTGATCTCCCTTCCTCCGCCCTCCGTGGATTCACAGGAGGCCCCCCCCCCCCCCCGCGTCCTGCTCGTGCCCCGTGTCCCACTCGTGTCCCGTGTCTACCCCTGTGAGAAAGCGACCTGAGGCCCTCCCGGCCGGTGAGACCCTTGCCACTTTATTGCCATCCCTACCGCAAGTCATCGACCTCCTTTCGAGCATGCGCCCCGGCTGCTGCTCGCTCCAGAGGCAGGATCCGGCCCGCGGCCTTTGTCCCTCTCTCTCTCTCTCTGCCCCCCCCCCCCAGCAAGGACACTTACCTGCTGTGAGCGCGCCTTTCCCCAGTGCCGCATGCCTGACCCGGCGCCCCTCATGCCCACGCGCCAGACTGGCATGCATGCATGCATGTGTATGTGTGTGTGTGTGTGCATGCGTGCGTGTGCATGCGTGCGTGTGCCTGTGTATTTCCGTGTCTCTCTGTTTCAGAGTGGGTCTGTGTACCTGTGTCGCCTTTTTGGATCATGTAATTTTGTGTGTTTTGTACCTCAGGCCCAGTCCTGAGCCTTGCCTTTCACTCCGTGGGGGCCCGTCTCCCCACGTCGGAAATGTAGACTCCCCTTTCACCCCTGTGTGTTGTGTCGTGGCCGGGTGCTTCCTTTTCCATGGGCTGGCGAAAGCCGGCTCCCCCTCCCCCTCCCTCCCCCTTTCACCATACCCCCCTCCCCCCCCCCCACACACATACATACGCATGGCACCCGGGGAAGCTCTCCGCCACATGCCGCCATCTCACTCATGATGAATCCTTCGCCCCACCCCCCGGTCCCGTGAAACCCGACTACCACTTGCCTTTCAGGCCGTGCCGTGTCGCCGCTCATTATTGGCCTGGTGTCAGCAGGGTCGGTGCTCATGATGGTGATCTTCCTGGCCATCATTCTTTATTGCGTCATACACACACGCAAGGCCACCAATCGAAAGCTTCCCATCCCCATGGCTCGGCCGCGCCGAGAGACAGGCTATGCAGGGAAGTCCGTGCGTAATGTCCCGCAAAGAGAATGCCCGTCTTGGGTCCGGAGGGAGGGGGGGGGGGGGAGGGGTGGGGAACCAGCGAGGCCATTGTCCCCCCTCGCGATTGTCCATCGGACCTAACATCCTTGGTGATTGTGGCCTTTCGTCGAACGAACCCCCCCCCCTCGGGCCAATGGGCCGCTTGTGGACGCTACAGGACCCGGGCGGTGCGCTCATATCTGTGGTCAACCATTACCCTCCCCCCCCCCCCGTCCCCTCCCAATGCGACATGCCCTTCGACTGACATGCCTCTGGTGTCCTGCCTCCGCGCATCCTTCGCCCTCCGCCCGACATACATATTCCCACATGCACACACACACATGCACACACACACATGCACACAAACAGAAGATACCGCCCCGCCCAGCCTGGAAGACATGCCCATGGAAGAGTGTGCTGAAGGGTATCCCTACGACACATGCGAGCACCCTATTTCCGGAATCAATGATATTGCCCACTGTCTGGATGACGGAGAGGCATACGGTCTGCCAGCAATGCGCAAATAGATGCCCAGCTTGGTTGTTCGCCTCGCGGGGCACTCGTTTCCCCCTTCGCCTCCTGGCCATGCTCCGGCCCGGGAGACACATGCATGGCGACACTTCGGCGCAACGACATTTCCCCCATGACGACCAGCGGGCACTTGATTTGCCTGTTGAGCTGCTGGCAGCCGGACGGGAGTAGGAAGGAGGGACGGGTGCGGGGGAGGGGGGGAGGATGGCCAGAACCACATCGACTAGGGGATTCCGAGGAAGTGGCCTCCCCCGGCATGTCGCAGCAAAACCCCGGCTTCGCATTGCTCTTGCCAAAACAAGCAAGACATTCCCAATCCCCGGGGAAATGGGCCCTGGGCCAGGCCGGAGGTCAAATGGCCTTCCGGTAGACAGGAAAAAGGGCTTTCTCCATCGGACTAGCCGTCCACAGAGATGCATAGCCAGAGCGAAGACAGCATGCGGAAGGAGACAAAAGGGAAGATACACGCGCATGCTGACACAAGGGGACGAAATGACTTTGGATGTATATGTACTAGGGAAGGAGGAGGGAGGCAGGGAGGGGATAAAAAGGGCTGGGCCACATGGTCACACGCGGGGGTGAGCCAAAAGAAAAAACGGGATCTATGCACCCGACCGTTCCGCGCGGGCGCCAGACGACGGGGAGTGGGGAGAGAGGGAGAGGGAGAGAGAGAGAGAGAGAGAGAGGGAGAGGGAGAGGGAGAGGGAGGGAGAGGGAGGAAGGCAGGCGCGAAATGTGGCCAGAGGGGCACAAGAAGGATGGGGCGAGGAGATTGGAGGGAGCGCGCTCAGGCGCCTGGTGGTTTCTAACTGAAAGGGCCGGACAGGTGGGCACACTGGCGCCTCGCCAAAGCTCCTCATTTCGCGGGGACAGCCTGTGAACAAGCGCCAGCATGTCGGCTGGAGGAGGCTTCCTCCCCGCCTCGCCCCGCGCCTTGGTCCGTGCCATGAGCAGATGGAAGGATAGAGAGGGGGAAGGGACAGGAGGGAAGACAGCTGGTGCACGTGCGGCTCATGCAGGCAAAGCGAGGGACATCGCACTTGAGGGAGCGATTGGCTGAGAGGGAGAGGGAGAGAGGGAGAGAGGGGGGGGGGCGGTACTTTGAGGTACATGAGTGGATAGGCTTCCCGGGGAGAAGGAGAAGGAGAAGGAGAGAGGGAGAGAAAGGAAGAGCGCGGCACAGGCTCTGTTCTCGGGGGGAAGGGGGGGGGGGGAGGGAGAGAAAAAGGAGGAGACGTAAAAGCGTCACGCCCCGCTCACAGCTGGCTGAAGATGAAGAGGTTGTTGGTGGCAGCGACAGCAATGGAGTTCTCGCGAGGGTGCCAGGCGGCGTGGAGGATGCGCTTGGTGATGTCGAGGTTCTCCGGCGGGGAGTTCTGGCCTCCGCTAGAGGGGGAGAGGTCATCGCGGCGTTTCCGGATGCCCAGGCGCGAGCGGGACAGGCTCTGCTTCTTGCGGAAGGCGTTCTTCGAAGCCTCGAGCATGACCTCGCCGTTGCCGTGGATATCGTAAATGTGGAAGTTGTTGTTGTATGAGCCGGTAAGGCATTTCCTGGCGTGGGGGAAAGGGAGGGAGGAGGAGAGATGGCAAGGGGCAGCAACGCAATCGAGTCAGGACACAGGATGAACGGGCGCGCGCGCGCGCGCGCGGGGTGGCGTGAGACGTGGCGAGGTCGCGGTGGACCTGAGGGATGGAGGGGGGTGGGGGGTGGGGTGGGGGGTATCACACGCACTGGCTGTCGCCATTGAAGATGCACTCGAACTTGTCGAAGATGCAGTCGCCCTCGTAGAGATCGCACAGCTTCGGGCGGAGGTGCTCATGAATGTGGATGGTCTTGATGGGCTCACGGTCCATGTTGATATCCCAGATCTTCAGAGTAAGGTAGTCTCTGGAAGCCAGGTACCGGCCGTCGGGAGAGAAACGCACGTCCGAGATGGAGGTGATGATCTCGGAGAAGAAGGACTTGTCCGTGAGGTCGTCGTCGACATAGAAGACTACCAGGGGTGGGGTGGTTTGGTTGGGAGAGCGCGCTCTTCGAGGAAGGGAGCGAGACAGAGAGCGAGAGAGCGAGAGAGAGAGAGAGAGAGAGAGAGAGCGAGCGAGAGAGGACGCACCCTTGGCGGCGGTGTCGCACAGGGCGCGCTGGCGCATGTCAGCCAGGCGGTTGACGCCCTTGCTGCTGCTGTAGGCAAAGATGTTGCACGACTGGGGGTGGAAGTCAGCCGAGGTGATGACCTCGGTCAGGTCCTCCATGTTGGGGGGCTTGATGTCGACGATGTTGAAGGACTGATCACTGATCTCCAAGTTCCAGAGGTTGATGCGCAGGTCATCAGCCGACAGGAAAGTTTCGTTGTCGCTGTTCAGGGCGATGGAGTTGATGTGATAGGCGTGGCCGTTGGCGAACACCCGGCGAGGAACGTGCGTGTGCACGGTGTCGTGCAGCATCATGCGCGGCAGACGCAGGCCGCGCGGGGGGACATTGTAGTGGCCGGTGCCGGCACCCCCGTCGATCTCCTCCTGGTCATAGGTGTCCGCGTCGTCCTCATAGCTGGGAACCACGGACTTTAGCTTCTTGTTGTGGATCTTCCAGAGCTTGATGGTCTTGTCTGTGGATGACGAGGGGAAAGAAGGGGGTAAGTGGCCACGTCCAGGGGCGGCATGGGAGGCAGGAGGGGGAGGGGCAGGCCGCGCTCCGGTGAGTCATGGCGATCCCATGCGTACCGTTGGTGGACAGGAGGAAGTGTGCGGAGTTGGAGCGCTTGCACCAGCGGATCTTGTTGATCTTCTCCTCGATCTCGATACTCTTCAGATAGTCGAACTCCGGATCGTGGCTCTGGAACTCGGTCCAGAAGCGATATTGGCAGCCCTTCTTGTTGTCCTCGCGCTCGAAGAGGACAACACGGCCGCCGCGGTCACCAGTCGCCAGATAGCGGCCCGTCTCGTCGAACTCGACAGCCGAGATGATGTCGGCTGCGGAGGCGGCCACAGGAGAGGCGAGAGGGGGGGACACCGTGAGTGATGGGGGGCCGGGATGCCGGGCATGTCCCACGGGGATGAGCCGACAATGGGCAGGTGCATGGCCGGTGGTGTGTGCGGTGGATATATGGCAACATGTGGGTGTGCCGGTGCAGCACGGGAGGAGGGGGGGGGGCGGGGGCGGGGGCGGGGGCGGGGCACCGGGGGCCAGAGGGGGAAGGCATGCGCACCCTCGGTAATGTCATCGGCGTGGCCCTTGTCGCCGAAACATTGGGAGAACTTCCATCCGCTGTGTTCGTCTGGCATGGTGGGGGTGGTCCGGCTAAAAAAGGAAAACACTTCGCTAAGTAGTGCTGAAAATCGGCCGGCTAGCGCTTAGTGGCTGTCGTGGGGGTTTTGGACGATGGGGACGCGAGGGTAGAAGCAGGCGAGGGGGGCGGGTCAGCGGGAGACACCGAAGAGGAGGGGGAGGGGGAGAGGGGAGGAAGAGGGGGGAGGGAGCGGGAGGGGGGGGGGCTGACATTCGAAAGATAGAAAGAAGGTGAGGAAGGATTGGAGGAGGGAGATAGATAGCTTGGGAAAGAGGGAGGCAGGGGGCGAGGCAGGGGGCGAGAGCGAGGGAGGGAGCGAGAGCGAGCAAGGGCCAGGGCGCGATGCGGAGGAAGGGGGCAAGCCTTG